TTCAAATGAATGTTTTATCCTCAAAAGAAGGCATGACCACTTATCTTGTAAATACCGCAAATCGTCGAATTATGCTTTATACAATTCCAAAAGCAGGGTTTTTTTACACTTCACTTAAGAAATTCTGAGTGTCAATGATCTTTTTTATTGCAATCGCAATTGAAACATTTGTGAATATAAAAGGAATGAACTAATTTCGCTTTTCAATAAAGCACCTCAAGAATCATGTTCTTAAAAAAAAAAAGATTCTTTTTCCTATTTCTATTCTTCATTTTTCTTTGTGGTTTTTACAAGCATCTCTTTCGGATGCGAGCAGGCATTTCAACGATCATTCGTCGACTACTGTTGATTAGCGCATATCACAGAAACTTCTTTGTTTTACGATCAAGTCAATGGATCTTTTCCTCTTATATATTGTTCATCAATTGTTAAATAAGATGAATCTTAAGCAAAGTCTTTGATTGTAAAAGAATATCTTCAGAATAAAGAATCTATTACTATGCACAAATGAAATGTTCTTCGAAATTCGGTTAGTATCATTTAAATTGAATTTTTAAAATGCTGATACAACTGAGAACAACAGCATTCTTTTCCATTGATTAGGATGAAAACAAAACTCCGCATCATTGAAACACACTAGAACTCGACCTAATAGCTCTGATTGATGTTTCGTCAAAATTCCATATGATCTCTCAAAATATAACCAATATTTCGTTGAACATATGTATTCCAGTTTCTCTATGCATAATCACAACATGTTTGCTGTTTTATATTATTAATTCATGCTTTTCTTTCATGCTGCTGATTCGAGCAAATGCGATAGAGAATCAACGTATCCAATAGCTCCAAAGCTAATGATATCATCACTAAAGCTTGAAACACTTATCTGTACCACAAATAGAGTGAGATTGGTTGGTTGATGACGATAGTCTTATTTTCATTCTGATTTTCCTTGTCACTCTCATTTGAATTCAGATTCACGTAATCGTTTCAAATTGTAATGATGCTGTCATGTAGTTTGCAGTTACTGAGTTCTGTAACTCACTGTTGTATTTACTTATGTTAATAGCATGAGAGAAAAGTGTAGATCAGAAGCATAATAACAGAAATACAAGAGCCGTAATTATTCAAGGATCAGGCATGTCGAAGCACAAATGAGAGACAGAACGGAGCAAAAAGAAATTCAATTCGGTCTCTTTCATTTTTTTTACCTACTTTTATATACCATTGCGACCCCATACAGAATCAGCAAGACAAGCATTACTTATACGACTCAATTACTTCTACAAGATATACTTTCTCGAAAAAAAACAATACACGATCTTTTCATCAATTGATAAAACTGTCGATTGCGTAAGAAATGTCAGAAGTCAATAATTGGAACGGTAAGTGTATCTTGTCAAATGTTCAAGAACAATCATCTCGATGCAACGTTTACTTCTATATCCTATTCTAGAGAGATTATTTGGCTGTTTCGATGATTGTGGCATCTGCTGCTACGGGTATTGGTGTCCTGCATGTCTATTCGGCTCAAACGCTGCGAAACTCGATGGTAGCAGCTGCTGGATGATGTGCTGCGTGTATTGGGTGCTAGGAGGTTCTTATCAGTACTGGTTGCCGCACTATTTTAAAAGAGAAAAATTACGAAAAATGTATGGCCTTCGAGAAGACCCGAAATGTGGTGATGTTCCAGCAACACTGTGTTGTAGTTCATGTGCACTTTGTCAAGAAGCTCGTGAGATGAAATCCAGAGGTAAGTGTGCGATAGTTATCAGGATTGGCAAACATTTTATAAATTTAGGTCACTATGCCGGCAAGAGTCAAGATACATATTACATGGCTAGAAGTGCTCCTGTTTCTTCTCAACCAACATACATTAGGAAGCTTCCGCAAGATATATACGAATCACGCGCATTTTAAACGAACGACTATCGCATCTAACACAAAATTCAATGTCATCCACAAATATCATCATTATTGACACTTTTTTTTCTCGTTTATTTTGTCAACGATTCTTTTTATTTTTATTAGAAGCCAAGGAGTCTCATATTTTATTTTAATCTTCTCATATTACTCCCGTGTGTTCTGCTTCATCTTATCCTTCCGCTGAAAATATGTTTAAATCCAAGGGTTTTTTTTACTCGTATCATATTTAACGTGGATTAGTACAAAAATAACTATGTAATAGACAACATGCTTTGATCACTTCAAAAAAGGAAAAAATGTGCATACCTTGAAATCTATTAAAAAATAAGTCAATTTTGTCAACTACCTCAGCTAGGCAGCTTTCTCAAAACGAATATCACTGATGGTACAGCATAGAGACGATGGGAAATAACGGCAAAAACTCTTTCCTTATTATTTTCAGAACACCAATGGAATATCTTTTCTTTCATCTACATAGACACCGAAGAAGTCATAAAATCCGAGATCATGTTGTTTGTCATCATCGTAATTATTACATACATTGCGTTGCTCGAATTATTGACCGCAGTTCTTTTGTTTCTTCCAAGGCACCAATGCTAAATCGGTGAAGATGTGAGATAAGACGATCAGATCGATACTTTTTGCCCAAACAATCTCTCACATCTGTATATGAAAGTACATTAGGAAATCTTTTGGACTCTTGTTTTTTATATCGACAGTTGAACATGTAATGAGATATTTAATTCGACGACACCATACTGCAATAGCCAAGTCTTTGAATTTGATTTCTATAATTTTATTTTGGAATAGATTCAAGATTGCAGCGCAAAAAGATATACTTTGACAGAAATTTTGGACCTTGAAATATTTTACTGAACATCGATAGGAATACACTAGATTACTTTTAAAAGATGACATTTCGGAAAGACCATTTCCAAAAATGCTGGACCTCTGTAAATCTGCTAGTGTAAGTAAGATTTTGTTGAAAACTTATAGTCTAATAGACAGGAGCAGAGCTTCTACAAATTTCTGAATATAAATAAGTTTTTTTTCGTTACCTGTTGAATTTTGAAATTCTTCTTGGTTTGTTTTATCCTTTCAAGCTTTTTTGATGTTTTTCAATAAAAATTCACAAACATTTCCCTTTTCGTTCGTTTTGTCCTATGGGCAAGATTGGGCGAGTCAAGCTACTTTTCGAGTCCAGCCAAATTAGTTTTACAATTTTTTCATTTTTATGTTTATTTTTATAAAGAACATTAACAACGATTTTTTCATGCACAAGAAAAAAATAAGAACAACCCTACAAAAAATAAAATGACACGACTACTATAGCCTGTTCAACAAAATAAGAACAGTGAAATCAAGTCTTCTCTTTTATACAGTTCCACATCACAATAAAAAAAACCAACCAATTTTCTATAAAACAAATAATACGATCTCATTAAAAGATCGCTTTGAGAAAACACACGTTCAACGAATGCGAATGTGCGAAGAATATATGATTTTTCTAGCAAGCTAATTAAGAGATTAATATAAATTCACTTTTCTGAAAATAAAATCACCGATTACATTTTCTTCTTGCAGAAAAGTACCAATTTCGTCTGAAACTAATTTTGGTATTGAATGAATGACTTGAGTCAACATCATCCAATGTTCGAGTTCGAGTCTTGATTCATACTCACTTAGCTCTGACTATAAATGTGAACTCAGTGAAAATCTAATATCTTGATTAACACTTATCAAAGATACTAGAAAAGAGCAATTCCACTATGCCTTGCCTCAATTCCATGTATCTTTATTCCAATTTTCTAAAATTCCACTTCAACTTTGACGAGAAAAAATGTCAACTTTAAATTTAATTCTAACTCCGAGTTGGAATTGTCCATCTCTGAAGGGTACAAGATTTTCTGAATTTTCTTCAGTCTAGTAGTATTTCTCCCTCCTCCAGCAATAATAGGCAAAACATGGACACAAAAGCTTTTTTTTTCTCCGGAAATTTAGGCGAATTTTAATTACATTTGGGATCGGCATACTCCGTGAGAAAAGGTCACCCTACTGAAAACAATGAATTTTGAATGAAAATGAACAGTCAGCATCACGGTGTTGTTCAGGATGTTTACAAATTCCCATTTCGAAGATTAACTTACGCCGTTTCTCAGTGTCCAACGTTTTTGCACGGAAGTCGGTTGAAAATGACGAAACTTTTGTGCATTTAGGACCACGAGAAGAGAAACTACACAAGGTCTGGTACGAAAACTTTTCAATCTTGCTGTAATCTTGTCAATTTCGAAACACCTCAATCGAGTCAAGTACGATCTATATACAGAAGAATTATTTCTCTATTCATCAATTATGACTTCTTCGGTTTGCAGTAATTTAGAATAAATAGTATAGAAGAACAAAGAACTGATAAGGTATATTGTTGCTGTTTTATCTTTAGTTTCTCTTTTTGTCAGAAAGCAAACTTGTCCTTCATATAAAGCACACAATTATCTTTTACCTCTTTTTTGCTCGTATACAATCACAACCTGTGCGCAAACCATAAAAGAAGCCGATAATAAATCGTATAATTCAGTCACTTCTGCTTCGTTCGTAATAAAGAATTTCACTACAGGTAGAATGTCCTCAACAGTGAAAGGTATGAAAGTTATGTCACCAGAGCCAATTCAACAGCGTATTGAATGGATGTGGAAATCGAACAGTGATACTCAATCACACTCTCAACAAGAAGAATGGCACTGTTATTCAGATATTGAAACAGCTATTATCGAAGAAGCATTTCAAGAGAAACTCTCCGAAGCAGTATTAGACGAGTGTCGTATTGACTTGAAATATTTTCTCCAAATATCGAATAGAGATGAGAACATACGACGTCCAGTGAAACGAGTCCATCATGAACAAGTGGAAGCGGGACGACTACGAGAAGCTCGATTCATGCCCAATCCTGTTGCACCATCAGCGCCCTTCAGAGATCCACAACTGGGCTTCCTTTATGCTACTCGAAAATACTTTAATATCCGTCGTGATCCAGACGATGACTATGGTACTCGACGTATGTTAATCGAGAGAGCTGCTGAAGGTTTCATCATTGAAGGAAAAAAATTAGGCAAACAAAAAGAAGGAGAATGGCTTGCTCGTCAACTACTGAAGGTAATTCGCAGTACTCCACAAGAAGTTTGGAAATGTTGTGTTTGTCTTTACTGCAAGGAATCGTTTCTTTATAAGAAAATGAATGAATACATGCGACTAGTAGGCGACAAAGAACATGAAGATCTTTGGAAGAATAAAATTCCTACCTATGGTCCGTTTGCCTTTCTTCTTCTCTGGCGCGACGCAGAAACTCATGCTAGAGATACGAAAATGACTGTATATCGAGGAGCCTATTTGTCTGATGATTTAATCGCACAGTATCGGCAAAAATGTGCAGTTACTTCTGGATGTCAAGATCAAGTGGAATTTCCTTCGTTTACATCGACGAGTCGAAATCGAATGAAAGCAGAACAATTTGGTAATGTGCTTTTTGTTATTGACATAAATGATTTTAAGGGTCGTGATGTGTCCGCTTATTCTGAGTACGACGAAGAAGAATATCTACTAGCTCCAAATTTTCTCTTTTATGTTCGATCGTGCACCTTTGATGAGACTAAGAAAAAATGGGTGATTCATCTTCAATATGACTAGCCTTAATGCACTTATTTAGTTTGAAATCGACTTTTCTAGGAGCCTCGTTTCAGTTGCAGTATAGCGATTCATAGAATGTATCCCATTCAATGCTTTTCCTTGTTTATTTCTCCTCAAACTGGTGTTCGAGTTTTACAGCGATTGTACACATGTTGAATTTATAACTTACAAAATGAATGGCACTTGTTTTGTTCAACAAAATAAAAGTTAATTATAATGATTCATGAGCAATCTGTCACTTGTGAATATGCGAAAGTCTGGGTGTAAATGGATGTCAGTACGTGTAATGACAAGACTCACACTCATATCCTCACTAAAATCCTGCTGTATATTCATAAATGTCGACTAGCAACTGACTTTCAAAAACGAGAACGATACTCAACGATTTTGACATTCCGTCAGTGCTTTTAGTAGTGATCATCATGTTTATAGATACACTATCTGCATTCTAACATGCACATTCTAACAAAAGAAAATTGAATATATCGCATAAAGGTCTACAGAGAACTCTGGAATACTAAATAAAAAATGGTGTGTTATATGAAAGATCAGATTTTGGGCTGTCTTTCCATCTATTTATCTTAATTTTGATAATTCTGACGAAAATTGACTTTTTTTAACGGGCAGAGGCGCGAGCTTAAAATGTAAAACACGATGTAGCTGTTTTTGTACCGAAATTCAAATTAACTGAGAAGAAAACAGTTTTAGGATATATTTTACTTAAAAAAAAATTTGCAGCTCAATCTCCGCAATACTCTGAAAAAATAACCGCCGGTATAACCCACATTATACTGATTGGTATTTTTTTCACTTAATTCTTCAGAGGTTCAATAATGAAATAAGTTCATATATTGTAAAGAAACGTTATTGATACATATATAGACTGTGATCATACATCGGCGTCTGTCATTGTCTGTGGGAAGGAGAGTCCAAATTTTTACCCCTGTACTTCAATCAAAAAAAAACACTAGTTTAATAGTGTTTCTGATTCTCGAATACATTGGATGCAATCTGAACACAAGATATTTTTTTCATTCGTCTTAAATTTTTGAATTGTACAAAAGAAATGAATATTGATTTATTTCCGACCGAGTGAGTTTTAAATTTATCCTTGTTAATTAATTAATTAATCATTGAAAAAAATCATAATTAAAATTATCAAATTACAAAAAATGAACAATCAATACTGAAATCATACTGGCTTTTTTTTTATTGAAGAATATTTTTTAAATCTATCATCAATAATGAAGAATTAATTTCTCTTAGTAAATTGACTATTTCTTCTCTATTTTGATTTAATTTATATTGCATACGTGTCAGTTCATCGACTTGTACTTGAATTTTAGCACCATTTTGTTAAGGAAATATTCTTCCTTATGAACTCTTTAAATGCATGCTAATTTTCGTCTTCTTTCTCTTATATGTATCTGTTCTTTAGTTCTTCTTGTCCACTTAAAATTGTTCGCTCATTTCTATTTTCTCACGGTCAATAAACATCGATATTGACCTTGCTCTTTTTTATTCTTTTTCTGCGCATTAATCTTTCTATTGCATAGCTTATGATACGTGATAGT